GGTGGCACAGTCATCTTGGCAGGAGGTGTGCGAGTAAGTGCAGTCTGCCATCCGGCCCGTGGGGCGGTTTTTGATCACAGGGCTTTTATGACTCTCATCAAGCAAATAATCAGTGGGTAACACAGAATACACAGTTTTTAGTCGTAGCATGTCCTGACGAGAATATTTGTAGATCCTGGTCATGATTAGCACCGTTGTATGGATGAGTTAAACGATAAATTCCAACGTGACGAACAAGCACGAGAGTGTAGCGCAGCCAATCGAAGGGCGCGCATAGAAAGAAATTCAGCAATCGCTCCTCACGCCATAGCCGAAGGTTACACCATAGTACTACAACAAACCGAAAACACTCAAGCTCGGATTTCGAACACACACTGAACATTTATAGCGTAGCCGATTGTATGGCGAAAGCCGGACAATAGCAGACATTTGCCGGACACCATTTTTACCTACAACCTAAATGTTCACATGTTTACTTCAGCATCAACCCCATGTGACGTTTGTTTTATACGATCGAAAACTGTTGTATCCTTCCGCGAAGGGAACTTTCAATTTTCGCTTTCGCTCCGTTTTGCTCGTTATCACGCTCGATGGTTTGCTCGTCTTCGTGCTTTAATGCAAACGTTCGTTAGCCGGGACCGGTACTTTCTCCGTGCCATTGTGCCCCAATTAACGTCTACAACCACAAGTCTTCTGGTTTAACTAGCTGTAAGTTGGTTGTGTTGCGAGCTTGGGGTTCCCGTTCTGAAGCGCGTCACGCTCGGTCGTATTTGACGTCTCTTCACATTCGTATGCCGAAGCTTTGGCACCTATTCTGCAGGCGTCAACAGGAACGACAGAATCGAAATACCTAACAGGTAATCACAACAGAGATTACAGTGCCACTCGGTCCCATCTAGTAATGAGGGTTAGTATGGCAGACAATGAATCATCCAGTCCACTACACGAATTCACAAACACACATACACACGACGAAACATTCGTTGACTTGTGATCCCTTCTTCTGAGCCATTTGATTGTAAAACCTGCCTTGAGAAAGGTTACCCACGGTAACTGAAACATCGGCGAATACAGTTCTCTACCGATATCGCTGTGTTATTAACATGATAACATTCATGAAACATTCTTTCCCCCTTATCCAGTTCATCAACCACAGACGACATATGTGAGCAGAATTGATATTGGCCATCGATTTGGCGTCCTCTCATTCAGCTACACGGGGAGACACCCGGGGGGAGTGAAACCCACACCGAAGAACCGTCAAGAGTGTCTGGTGCCTCTTAACAAACGAATGAGCCAATTCAAGATTGCTACTCTAAAATTGATTGAGCCATTCGTACAAGGTGATGACCATCAACCGTGTAGCTTAGGGGTAAGGGTTTATAGTCCCACCCCAAATGTGACACAAATGGTACACATAATTGGTCGTAGCTAATTACTCAGATAAATTGATCGTTTTCATTTAAGCGCACACATTTATACATCAGCGAGTGAAACGGAGATCACAGACATGGAGAACAAACCCTAAAATATGGTAACTGTTGGGCCCCAAAAGAGCGCACGAGGAATCAAGTAGTACGTTTATTGTAAACAGCAAATATGTAACCAGTTCACAATCCGGGAAACAAGCGGGAACGATCAGCGTGTAGGAAGGCAGGCAAGCAGGCCGACTCCGGTCCACACTTCGCACTATATGCGAATGCCGTCAAACCAGCGTCAAACCAGTCAGTCAATCGATCAATCAATTTGACCACAGGTATGTATGAACACAAACCAGTCAGTTGTAAGCCATAACAGTAACAAATTGCTTGTAGTATATAGCCAAATGTGAATCAATCAATATGGATTTTATAACTACCAGTTTCAATCGCACGTAAGAAACTAGCCGAGCACTCGCGCATACACCAAACTTTATAGCGCAAACCTTCATCAGTTGCAACATCAAATCGGTCCGGGCGCGTTTGGATACACGCTCGAACGTGGCCGGATCCAATTCGGGCAATGGGCTGAGTGCCAATCGGATAACTGAAGTCGAACTGGTTCGGCCGTCCCTTTCAACCGAGCTCCGATCGGTCCCAATCCCCTCATCTGGAGTGTCGCGACTGACGTGCTCCGGGGCATTTCGGCCCCCGCTCATACTACTCTCACTGTGGAAACTCATCACAGAGCGTCGGGGATCGGTGAGCACTTCAACGGGTAAAAGCATCAGACGAGCGGAATCGGTCAGTCCGGGACGTTTGTGCCGATACCAGGCACGATAGTCCGCCGGGTGCATAAGATGCTCCGGTAAAACATGGGGCAAACATCCGCCTTGACTGAGGATTGCCACGAAAGAAGTTGAGCAATACGTGTCCGGAAGAAGGATAAATTAGCGGGCGACGTGGGGGGGGGGGTGAGTGAGAGTAGGNGTGGGGGGGGGGGTGAGTGAGAGTAGGAAGCAGAGACAAAAAAAACAGATAAGCGTTTTGTATCGTAACAAATAAGTTTCTACAAAATCCATTTAGTCTTGTTTATGTCTGTATTCATGGTTAAACGGTGGTCGTAACAGAACACGACAAAGAAAGAAATCGGAGAGCAATAAAAGATTCTTAAGGATTGCACTCAAACACTTTTGCCAGCGCTGTGTTTGGAGAGCGGAATCATACTTATTGGTTGAAAATCTCCGTCCATCACTCCATCACTCACCTCGAGGATTGTCATCACAGCTGAATGTGCAGGACCCAAACCAACTGGGGTATCACCACTCTTACTTCACACAGAATGTCCTAGATCCTTTGATCCGCTATATTCTATTGGTACCCGATGGAAATAATAAAGCCGACGGAATGTCTCTTGGATTACAGTGATGCCTCCCATCGTGTTGACAGGTCTAAGCTGTTAAATATTTTTTCTTCGCATACCACAGCTGCGGTACTCGCAGACTACTTCACAAATCGATCACAGTTCTCACGTTACCTTGTATTCGGCTCACATCTCTACATCAGGCGTAATACCGGATGTCATTCTATCTCCGTCTAACTTTTTCGTTTTATTTTTTTTCCATGCCTACTTTTCAAAATTCCCTGTTCATTAAATACGAAGACCAGATTGTGGGCGGAATCGCCCGCCCCGATCCATCTGTCACCTCCATCTTTCAACCTGACCTTACTAACCGTGCTCAGTGATCCACTGTACATACATTAACTCCCAATCTTTCTAAATGGATAGACATGTTGTTCTCACTGCGCGGAGGGAACCGTTATGCAAATCTCTTAGAATTCTGTCCCACAATAAACGTACATGATAATACCATCATTCAGCCTGTAAATGTTAGGTATCTCGATGGATCAATCAGACGAAATTTATACTGGTCTGACCAAGTTATTCCTGTATTGAGGAAGGTCAAAAAATTACCACTTTAGGTCCTACACGTGAACGTACCACTGTCCGTCCCTCGATTCTTCATCCACAGTTTTCTATTTTCGCTTGCAGTTTTCCCTATGGTTATATGGGTCCCCTATCATCTTCCCATGGATGCTAAGGAAGGACTTTAAGCTGCTGTCTAGACCCTTAGCACACCTATCTAGAAGTAGTGGAATTTCAAATAAAACTCCAGGTTACTTCATCTTTTCACAACATACAAAGTCGAAGCAAGCCCTTCCCGAGATTAATTTCAAAAAAGACAATATTGCAATGCACTGCATCATTTATGTCCAGAACGATTTCGCTGTATCTCAACGTGGTGCATACTGCAGAAAATGCGTGTATATAGAGCTTTGGCATGGCAACCGAGTAAAGCAAAATACATTAAAAAAACAGACAATACATACAAGAGGGAGGGGTAAAAGGACGAATATCACCAGAGTAGGGAGAGACTAACATAAAGTTCATTTTGCTGACACAGGGGGGGCTTCCATCGATTAATCGCAATCGCTTCGGCAGACCTTAGCAATCTGGCGACTTGTGACTTGTAGACAATTCGAAACGGTGTGCCTCAGTCGACCTGGAGTTGCGTCATCAGCAGATGTCGAGCAAATGACTGAGGACGGGGTTTTGTGGTTTCGACCGTCGTTTCAATGCAGCGGACTTGACCTTAATTGAGTCAGCTGATTTTGGACCTAATTTGGAATATGTTCCACCACCCGATTTGTCGCTGCGTTTTGACCACGTAGATTGCTTCGCAACCCAATTGGAATTGGTACATAACATTGTAGTTGGCGTACAGAGGCAAAGGTTCTTTTGCCGGGGTTGTGGCTATCCTGGTTGTCCCGTAGACGATTTGTAGGTCGACTGCGCAGTAGGTTCGAGCGATTACTGAACTCAGCCATTTGTGTCAGCAAAACGAACTTGCGGGCGGGGCCTTCAAATTTCGGCCGTGCTGCATTTTTGTGCTCCAGTGAACAATTTATCAACTTTCACGTCACAGATTGGATTTAATCGTTTGAATCAAGTTTTCTTTCATCGCTTTCATGATTCCGTACGCCCCGGAATCTTTAAAGAATATGCAACATTATGTGTGGCATGAGTGGCATTCTCGATCAGTTCAGTCGCCAAGTTAAAAATAGATACAAAAGATGCAGACCGTCTAGATCAGGTTTCCTCAGAAAACACCGAGCAGGCTGGCAAGTGACCTGACGTAACACAAAACCTCAGAAAATGTCTATCACTGTCATTTGTTCATAAAACGTACGATCACTATTTGGCAAAATGAGCGACTTCACGAAACTGATGAGGACGAAAAAATTCCATGTATTGGGGATATATAAGCTGCAAGAAACGTGGTTGCATCCTGGTATCGACGACTCTTTGGTTGAGCTGGATCTATTTGATATGCACCGTTTGGATAGAGACCTTTTACTACAAAATCGAGGCGACGGTCCAATAACCTACACCAAATAATCTTGGTGTAAGTCTACGAAGATTATCTTCACCTACAACGTAGGATATATCTCATGTCTTTCGGTTGAATGTAAACCCCTTTTCCTTAGTAAATATCGTTCCATTGTGTCATCAAACATTTACATAGCACCTTCCAGTGCAACTTCTGATGTACAGACGTTTTCTGATGTATTTATATCCGAACTTTCTAACTACACTGAACGCTCTCTTTTCATTGTTTGTGGCGATTTCAACCATATAGATATTCATTTCTTGATATGTCTCTTTCTCTACAATATTGTGAATTTCTCCACAAGAGGAAACGCGCAGCTCGGTCTTATGTTTTCGAACGATCCCGACCTGTTTGCTGTGCGAAGAGGAGCCCCTCTGGCAAACTCCGATCATCGCATCATCAATGTTTTACCAAACGTTTATTCAAAGAAACATCATAGCACACTGACACGTACATCTAGCGAGAAGATTTTTCATAGGTTGTGTGACTCGGTCCACTGAGCATCACTGAGAGAAATGGTTTCTGGTACAAATTTCGATTAGTTCTTTGATCCCAGTGTCTCGATCGAGTGTGAACACCTCACGAGCTATTTGAACTTCTGCTTTGACATCTGCTGCCCCATATCCCCTATATACATCAGTCCCACCAGATTTTCTTCTCCCACTTTGAAGACCCTCAGAAGAACCAAGGAATGGGCATATAAAAATCGTGATCAACCTTTAGTTAAACGAACGTCAGTGCTGAACAAGAATGAGATACAAAATCTTGACAAGCTCTACACTGAAACCCTTCTTGGGGACCGAAATTGCAAGCAAATCTGGAGCGCTGTGAAAAAACTTTGTGGAACAAAGTCAGACTACGTGCGCCTCAACTCACAGTAGATGAGCTCAACTGCATGTTTTCCACGTCGACTGAAACTGAAGTATCGCATCCTTATTTCCAATCAGTTGACCATAGTGAAATTTCACGTGTCAATTCTAATCAGGTGCGTGCACAGCTGAAGTGCCTAAAAATATCAAAAGCTTCCGGTCCTGACGGACCGTGTCCAGTCGTCCTCAGGGAATGTGTGCATTATCTGGCGGAGCCAATTGCCGGTATTTTCAACCGCTGCTTCGCGAAAGAAAAAATTGTTGACTGCTGGAGACCTGTGCGCATCACACCAGCCCCCCCAAAATGAAACTGGCAAACGACAACCAGTCGCCTGCATTTCTGTTTCACTAAACATTTTCGAAAAGTTTATGCTCAGTAACATTACTCCCAATACTGGGCAGCTGGATGAAAACCAATTCGCTTATCGCAAACAACGTTCTACCTTAGATGCTCTCGCTCATTTGATGAACTCAGTTTTACGATCCCTAGACACGCACGGNNNCCTTTTCGTGTGTGTTTCCTCGACTATGGTAATGCTTTTAACTGTGTCGACAGGAGCAGGCTTTTGTCTTTACTCCAAGGTGCTGGATTGCCCAATAATACTCTTTCTCTCTACTCCAAGATTATTTTGCTAGTAGAACGCAATTCACAAAGTTTCTTGGAAAAACCTCTGACTCCCTACCAGTCAACTCAGGGGTGCTCCAGGGAGCAATTCTGTCCCCTTTCTTTTCTCTTTCTATATTCGTGACCTTCCCATTAACTCAAATGATTTTCTTATTAAGTATACTGATGATGTCACAATAGGTTCCGAATTCCAAGGTGATTTCCTCTTCTCACATCTTCAAACCAGTTTATCTGCCTTAAACCTATGGTCTTCATCTTCCGAGTTATCTCTCAATGCATCTAAATGTAGCGATGTCACCTTTTCAGTAGCCAAAAGAGAACGGCCACATTCTTTCGAAGGAAATTGTTCCGCACTAGTTGTTGGCAACCAGCCTGTTCCC